TTATTTCATTTCCTATAATTTCATAAGTATATGGTATGAAATCATGATATTTTGTTTGTCACATTGTACCAACAAATGATTTAATTCAATAGATAAAATTTAATGGGGAGGTTCATCCGGGGAAATACTAGGGCCTCACAGAAGACCGGCGTAAAGAGGATTATCCTTACTAATATTATAAACGCGAAAGTTTGTGTGTATGGATAGATCTTTTACGCATTACTACTGGATGGATTTTAATGAAACTTTACAATAATATAGCTTACATATATATATATATATACAGCGTGTCGTTACCATCGCGACAATAAATGAACACACGTCTAACGCTACGTGCCAATAATCAATAAAAAAATATTAACGTAAAACAAAATCCATAATTAAAAAAAATATATTTTTCAAACAAACTAATTAAGTAAAAAAGAAACAAAATTTGTAACATCCTATACAACTCGCGCCACAGCGTCGCATTACAAGCCTCTCCTTCTAACAGTATGTTTTGTCTCTTTTAAATTCATTCAACCCATTCATATGCTTTGTGACCTTTACAAATGAACTTTACGTTACGCTTTTATAGGTAAGGGTGATCTAAAATTCTTTGTTTTGGAAAATTTAATAACTCTGTAAATATTGATGTTTAAAAAATTTAAATGTTTAATACAACTTTAAAAACTTATCCCCTATATGTGTGTTCATTTATTGTCGCGATGGTAACGACACGCTGTACATATATCAGAATAAGACAGACTATAATTTATATACATATTTTTATGTATATCTGTGTTTCTGCCTTAATGTTACGCCTTCAGCCATTTCTACGCAGACGTAGTCACGGGCAGCAGCTAGTGTATTATTCTTTCGCATTTCGTCTGGTGAGCCCTCATTCACCAGACTTTAAAGTTAGATGTACCAGTCATGTTTTGTAGATATTCATGGTCGGTGGTAATCACTTAACATTAGGTAAATTGCCAGCCAACATTTTACATAAAAGAGGTAAAATAACGTGTGCCAAATTTTGATTTCCACTAGCTTGGAAAAAAAATTAAATGTAAGAAAAAAAATAAGCGGACAATAAAGAATTAAACTTTTCTTTATTGTCAACTTCTTTTTTTTTTTTAGGAAAATGTAAATCATTTCCCGTAAATCGTATGAAAAATTCTTGTTAATCTAAAATTATTTAAAGAGCTTAAGATTTTAAAAATAATAAAACTAATCTTTATATTTTAAGAAGTACCTGGAGGACCGAGCTTTGCTCGTTTTTTTTTTTTGGAAAATCATGTATTTTGGAAATAAATAAAATGATCTGGTGTGGAAGAAAAAGTAAAAAAAATAGGTGTGTAAATAATCGTGATACGAACCGCGGCCTTCTGATTTGGGGCCGCCCGATTACCGACCGGGCTATTATAACTTTTGTTTTTGCGGCGAAATTTCCTGTCATATTCGAATGTTATTTTTCTTCCCCTGAAAACAGGGATAAAAGGACATTTTATAAAAATGAAACCTAGCTAGATCGATTTTTCGCCCCCGAATCTACGCACATACTAAATTTCAGGAAAATCGCTGGGGCCGTTTCCGAGATTCCGATTATATATATATATATATATATATATATATATATATATATATATATATATATATATATATATATATATATATACATACAAGAATTAATCGTTTAAAGGATAAGAGATATGTCGTAAAACTTTAACTTATAAAAATTTGTAAGTTTTAAAGTGGTAAGCTGATAAAACTTTGTTAGATATATTATTATAATTTAATTGCTGTTTTAACATTTGGATTATAAATCTTCACAGTAAAAATTACGAACACACACAGTAAAGAAGAACATCGTTTATATTTTAATCCGATATAATATACGAAATTTCTACAAGTTTGAGTGATTTACGGATTTATATAATTTAAACGTGGTTTAAGAACAACGTCTAACAAAGAAAATCTTGAAAGTACTCTCTATTAAACAATTTATTTGCTCACAAAAACCAAATGAAGCAAATGAACGACAAAAATTTGCAATTGAAAAAAAAAATACAATTTAAAAATTTACTCTTGTATTGATTTTATTGGCATATTTATTGCGTATTGCGTTTATAAAAACAACTTAAGACATCGAAAGTTCGTTCGCCCACGACTCTGTACCCTTGCGATGACATCTAGCGGATGCAGGCAACAACCCGAAGTAAAAAAAAAACTCATGCCATCATGTCTTCATTGACAGGCGTCGAATGCTATTTTGGGAGCATGACGTTGTTTGGTTTTAAATACAAAAAGGAGCGTTAAAAATAATTGAAGGTCAATTTGCAGTAATGTAAGTTCGTTTGTTATCAGATTCTGGCTATTATTGTCCAGAATGGTAAAAGCATTATCTCAATATAAGGCTATTCTCAGCACATACAGAGCTGGTTTATCGTGACCAGTAAAAAGATATGTAGTGCAGCATTTTTTTATGTCGTGCTCTGTAATATCTATTCTATCTCGTCCAAATTGGTAAAATATTAGGGTACTATGTATGTCTTCATGCATGTGAAGATTAGTAGACTTGCCTGAATTTCTAACAATAATTAACGAGCTATCTATGTGCACATACTATGATTCTTTTAATGTAATAACAAAACTCGCCAATATAACCGTCAAACAAAAGTATACTTTATAAAAAAAAAAACATATTTATTTGAAGGAAAGCTGTTCAAATATAACGACAAGAAAGGAAGTACTTGGACTCATTTAGGTTTTGCGTCGATTCATATAACCGTACGTTGATATTATTTAATCTTTCGTTAAAGCAAACAATACAATTGAAAATTGTAACTTCAATGTCATTTCTGATAACATTGAAACACAGAGTAGGATAATGCGCAATCACAGATAAGCTTCGACGCTTTTTAAATACATAATATTATATGTATTCATGAAAAGAATACAAACTTCTAATTAAAAAAGTAGCGGGAGTTTTGACGCAAGAATAGTAATTTCATATATCCTATTGTTATGTTAATTTTTATGACTATCTCTAATGTTATGATAAAATAAGGGTACGGTTGATTTTGTTTTAGTAACAAACCTTAAATACAGAAAGGTATCTCAAGAGACCTTTGAGAACATATTGTATCCTTCTCTAAATGATAAGCAAAGCTTTTCCAACTGTTCTGGCATTGCTAATGACTAAGATTGTGCAAACCTCAGGGTGAGAGTGGGCGCTAATCGAAACTTTTTCTGAATATGGCTTTTTATACGTGACCTATTAAACTACGTCCCTCGGATATTTCTTTATCGTGAAACATTAAAAATTTCTCGTAGTTGTAGTTTAATGTTTTGTCGATTATAAACTTTTAATAAACGAGTTAGTATTCGACAAAGATTTTTTTGATTGATTTTTTCTCCTCGACTGTCAAAACCTATCCTCGTACTTCTATTCTCAGTTCACTGGCTCGTATGTCCACTTCTCAATAGAAAACCCGTTACCCTAGCCGCCAGTCCTCGAAAAGCGACGCTCTGTGCAACGGATTGGGGCGTGCTATTTCGATCGACGTCATCTCCAATGACGCAACCTTGTACAAAGTACTGAAATTAGCCGTCGTCGAGCCGGCTGCAGGGTTTCCAAGGGGGCGCGGAGTGATCTTAGCACTATACAAGTGATGTACCTACTTTAGAAGGGTAAATACGTCAGTGTAGTGCACCGTGGGCGTAAAGCGTACGTTCGCGTTGAAGGCTAGAAGGATATCGCTTAAGTCGTTGCGCCCACTTGTCCACACGATGGAGTCTTTTTTTGTGCCCGTGCAAATAAACTTTTAGACAACATTTAATTTTGGAGGCAATTGAATGTTATAAGTTTCTGTATTTTTTATTTTCAAGCTCCTCCATTGAGGATTGTAGTAAATAAAGAGAATAGTCAACAGTCGCACGGTTGCAATGCAGGCGCTTTGAATATTACCAGCAAAGTGTAATAAATGTTGTTTCATTAGTTGACATGAAAAGAATGGAATAGAGGAAATACACTTAATCTTGAGGAAATTGTATTAACTAAAATAAAAAATAAAAAAATCAAAGTTCGTTGATTATTATATTTAGTGATCGCTAAAAAACATCTAAAGCAAAATGCTTAAGTTTTAAAAATCTTGAATGACCTCTATTAATCAAAATATCTTTATGATATTTATACAAAAATATAATTTTCAACCTAGAAACTAATTCTGGGATGAAAAAATATTGTAATTTTAACTGACATAATAAACTAATCTATTTTCTCCCAGAACACTCGAAAAATAAATATTGTTTTAGGCCAATCTAATGTGCACCTATGAGAAAAATATTAAATTAAGTCTTAATGTTTTAAAGTAAAATATTTCTTATCTCATATAACGATAAATACATGTATTTCACGTCAATTTTTTGATGATAAACCCATGGAAAAAATGTACACAACTTTCATTTTTCAAGTTTTATTTCTGCTCGATATCTTGACACAGAAGCACAAAAAAGTTAACTTTTCTGCTTCATTCATTGTCGATTGTCAAAATCGTAAACAAATCTGTACACTGTTTACACTTTCACAAGTAATAGTGAGAGTTGCTTTTTAAATAATTTTACGGTCGATTACCATCACAAAACACTTTTTAACGTTGTCTAAAACGAAATGGCCGGTCGTTTTCTTCTTAAACCGAGATCAGGGCCTACTCTCGATTTAAGCCAGGGCCTATTCTCGAAGAAAACTCATTCAGAGCAATAAACGATATCATACTTCAAATGAACTAACAGATTAGACTAGTTGTAAACTAAAACTGATTATACAACAGTTCCAATATCATACAAGAAATTTCTAGAGAAAATTGCAGCACAGTCAAAGTACCTGAACAAAAAAAAATATAAAACACTGAACAGAGATGCATGCATATTAAATTGCATAAAACTAAGACAACTAATGATAAATAAAAATACAAACACCAAAACCTCTATGAAAAACAAAACAAAGTAACACCAACACCATGACTTTACCATTTGCGAAGAAACGAAACGCAAACTTTGCCTCATCACCCCAACGCGTGGTTACAGTGGTACGTTGCGTTAAAGTTGTTTGAATACATCATAAAGCATGCAATCATAAATTACACCGATCGAATTGAACCGATCATGCAGAGTGCTAAAAACTATCGTAGGCAGTTTGGCAAAGGTGGCGTTCGCTGACGTGGAAGAAAAAAAAAAAAAAAAAACAACAACAACCATAACAGACAGACAAGCCGAAAACGTTGCCAGCGTGTCGCTCTCTACCTGGAGTGCGGCTGCCTGTCGGTAGGAGGCGGCGATGGCGCCCTTGACGAGGTCGCGGTGTGTTCGCGCGTGTCTGCCGCCGCGGGGCTGCCGGCGCCGCTACCGCCGAGCGCGAGCGCCAGCCCGCTGATGCTGGAGACACACCACCACGTCACCACGGCCCCTGCCATGTCGGCGCGCCGTACGATCGCTGCGACTTAGCTGCTCCAAGCTCAGTGCTCACGTCCGTTAGGACGTCATATACCAATCACGTTTACGTTGCTAATGGTAATTTGGAGCAGGTAGGTCGTGGTAATGGGACTAGGTTTGATACGCTATCGTAATACTAGATTGGTTAGACTAGTCTAGGTCCGGTGAAATCACGCTGTGCTATTCAATTGCTAACATCAAAATTCACATCTCGCCGTATGTTGTTTTGCTCTCCTAATAACGACCCCGATTGTTCAGAGCTAAAAAACAGCCGAGCGAAGCAGAACATTCTCAGCGGGGTGAAGAGATACATAAGCGGTGATGTTCAGTTAGTGGCAAGGCATATAAGTGTCGTTTAAATTTTAGGTTATCGCAAGCAAGCATTGTTAAGTGTTATTAGACCTGTCATGCAAAGACGTACACAAATATATAAAAAACGATACTAAGATTCAACTCGTCTAAACATCTGACCATTCGATTGAGACAGGCGGTCGGGAAGCCCTATTTTATTATTGTAAAATTAGTACACCCTTTATAACAGAGCTGAATGAGAACGCATAAAGGTCGAGGATGTACATCTTGAGCCTAGAAAGATCTACCGAGTATCAAAGAGAACAAAGAACGCTGGTGCGTGCGATGGTGACTTAAACCCAACGGCATCTAAACTCTGGATTCCTTCCCAGCGTGAAGATAATAAGGAGCATTGAGACGTCAATCAAAGTGCCCAGCCTAGGAGCGTTGCACGGAAACTGTTGGGGAATCGCTCACGCGACCATAGTGGGCGAAAACGGGGCAATTATAGTGATTCATGTCAATGAACGTGGAACGATCTGAGCGGAACGTAGCGAGCATGTGAATGAAATGCATTGGTCAATGACCATACGTCTACCTGGTCTATGCAGCTTCTTTCACCATGGCCAATGTTTCTCCAATATATTAATTAATTAATATAATAATCAAATATATTAATTTAAATCTCTGTGTCATTTTTCAAATTCGTATAGAATGGGTTATTCTAAGACCACGATTTGCGTTTCAGAGATAACTCTATATACAGACAAATGGTTCTAACTAGGAGATAATTGCATAAAGGGAAAAATATCCATATGCAATTGTAGATCGTGCAATTAAACGTTGTATATATGGTACATTTTAATGTCAATCCATTTTGTAGTATCATTACCTAGAAAAGTAGAAAGAAGCGATTTTTATATTTTGTAGTCGCTACTTTCTAAACAAAGCATGAAAACGACAATTTTGGTGATTCGAAATGATATGACCCTTTCTCTCAGAGTTGAAAAAGTTCTATAAAATGTTGGTAGTGTACAAAGGAAATAATATCCGTTATATATTATTAAGGAAACTTTTGACGTCATATGGTTTCGTGTAAGGTCGACTTGTACGGAAGTTTGAAATTGCAACAAAAGACATTAAAATCAGACGTTTATCGATTCAGGAACATTGAAATTCGAGTGTTGTGACATTGACGGTTTCGCAGATAAGCGAAAAAATAGTTTTAAGACGACGAAATGATGAAAAATAAATATTAGCGTTGGAACGTCAACCCTGCTGACAATATTGTCTTAACTAGACTACTACAATTAAATGTAAAAGATTACTGCCACATAATTTTTAACTAACCGAATTCAAAAAAGAGGTTCTCAATTCGACTGTATTCTTTTATGTTTGTTACCTCGAATGAGAGAACCGATTTTGATTTTTTTATTAGGAAGCTGGTGCTTCCCATATGGTCCCATATTAATTTCATTGATATTGGATCTTGGGCTCAGGAGATACTTAGAAAACTCCTAAAAATCAATTATAAAATGAATACAGAGCGACAAACATATTTGAAGGCGGTTTTGTCTTTCGCTAATAAAAAATGGACTTGAAGCACAATTAATTCGGTTATGTTTGTTTTGTTTATAATGATATTTAGTTCCGTGACATTAATAGCTTGTCTCTTAAAGTGAGACCTTTTGTGACCTAGCCGTGGCGGTCGCTGTAATAAAGCGCAGTGACGTCAGTCGATCCAACAATGCATCGTAAAATGTACGTAGTCTACAATGTGTTGCCAATCGCAGAGTAACACTATATACAGCTTTAAGTGGATGACATCATTGCAATTATAATTCTTAATGCATCGTTTAGCTTTATCTATATATGTGAATGTTATTATTGCTAAATTGGATGAACATTTTATTCCGCCTTGATCATAATTAACGGTGGCTTATTGATATGGTGGTATCGCAAAGATTATTCTCTGTATTAGGTGCCATTCGTTACCTTAGATGTAACAGTAGTTAAATAAGAAAAAATTACGAATCTACTATGTTCAGTATATTCTCAACAAAGCTAAAGCAAAAACATCAGTAATTTTTTTTTTACTGATGTTTTTGCTTTCAGTCCTGAGACTATTAAAGCTTCATCTGACGCAGAACCGGTCGGCTAGCCAGAACCCACGGGTTTGGGCCCTCCGCTGTGGGTAGGGCCGAGCTAAATGTACATTTTCCTAGACCACAATGAATAAATTGTAATTATTTATTTCTTTCTTTGTACGTTCATGATCGTATCATCCCTTGTCAATTAATTACAATTTTGGTGCCGTGATACAGAAAAACAGCTTGTGAAGATTTCAAAATGACTACGCGTGCATGGAAAGAACACAGTACATGGATTTTAACGTTGTGTCCCCACTGCACTGCCCCGATAGGTAGGGTGATGGATTCATGTTCCAACAGTGCGCTATGTATAAATAACCCTAACTACTAGCCGTGGTAGCTCATTTTTAGATAGCGCTCGCCTTTACTTCAAATACTCGAGCAACTTGAGTTCGATCCCCGGTGCCGGCACCAATGAAATTGTTAACTTTAAGTGCCGAATTATCCGCTGAGCGCGTGGCTCAGCGGTGAGTAAACCTGCATATTTTTCGAAATAATAAGAAAAAAATATATATTTCGAAGATATGTGAAGTCTGCCAATCCGCGTGGTGGATTATGCCCTGATACCCTCTGTACAGAGGAGGCCTTTGCCCAGCAGTGGGACATGTATAGACTGATACTTTACTTTAACATTTTTCATAAAAGATCCATAACAACAGGATCAAAGCGGTATTCATTTAAGTGCGATGATTTCCAGAAGTTCTATTAAAATTACAAGTAAACTATAAATAAACAAGCAGTTTATACAGCAGTAAAAATTTAAGTGTTTTTAACCTTACAATTTAAATATTCTATCATACCATTCTTACTACATTTCATTAAAAACCCGGTGTAACAAGGTCTATAATGGTTAATTTTATTTTTAGACGTGTCTATTTCTTGTAATTTCATTATACTGATTTAAAAGTAGAGTAAATATTGAACCAAAACCAAGGCAATAAAAATAAATGTCTAACAAAACATATCCATCAAATAAAAAGTTAAACATGGTATCATTACAACAGTTGAACTATGGATATAAATGATGTCAAATTGTTAACACATAATTATGATATGATGGATGTTCATTTCAACAATAAACACGAATCTGATTATAACTTTGACATTCCATTACTTTTATTATATTACAGTAGTAACCAGGAAATAAAGACAGTGGAAGGGACGAGGGGAGGTCACGATAACTGATATCATAATATTAATCATTAATTGCAAAACATCTAATACTGTACATTATATACTTTTTCCATGTTCATACAGAAGCCGCAAATTAGTCACTCAAACGATAGGATTCCATGTCGACACGCTAATCCACCATTAAATTTACCATCAGTTACTAACACTGACGTTAAGCTTTCAAAAATAGAGCATAATTATACATACATAGGTATAATGCGTTCGAACTTATTTCATAATATGATACTAGCAGTTATTCAGTATGTAGATATTTTATTTAAAAATAAATACTAATTTGAAAAAGAAAAAAGAAACAAGACTAGCTATTATACACTATTACAAATTAAAATATATTTTGAGACTGTAATTTTAGGCTGTCACCCGATAGAGTGTCCGAAGTAATATTTCAATCCTAACAAAATCTCTAAATTCCCGGCCACGTAATTCCCTAAAGAATTCGGAATAAGACAGTTGGCAGATTATCAATGCAGGAGAAGATATATCGCGATTTGTAGAGAATTATTCACGGATAGTATAAACGTTTCGCAATAAGTTTTTAGAGCAATGAGATGGGCACCATATGCAACTTAGGAATGCATGTACTACGTGACGATGAAACATCGAGTTTAAGTTGTAGCATAAATTATGATTCCTTTCCTGAAATAAATATTCCGCTATTGGCCAAAGAACTCTTGTCTAGAGATAGTACGAGGACTTAACAGGCTAAACATCGTTATATCAATTTACATGTCTTAGAAATATATTATACAACCTTAGAAGTTATCATCACAGAAGCTTTCAGGATGAACAAGTGTCAAATGAACTACAGCCAATATTAAATCTTTTATAATGGATACAACAACAAAGCTGCGTGTCTGTATAGAAACGTCATAAAACAAAATTGCGCAATCGTGCCCAGCTGGCGGTCCTTGCATCGTTAAAGTCAAAGTCACTTTGCGATTCAGGCTATTACTGTAGCGTAAATGTTGCAGTTACTGTTGTCACGGTTAATTTTATTGCATCAGTCGCTATTTACAATGTATGCCGTTATTGCAGTTTCAATTGCACATTATCGGTAACTAGCGCCCGCGGGCAACCACCATAATTACTGACGCCTTTGACCAACCACTCTTAAATACAACTATATTTAAGGACAAACAATCGCTCGCTGTATGAATACTATTTCACGTTCGCCACCAATTGTAAAAAGGTTAACGTTCGATCAAACACATTTTTATTTCATCTAGATTTAATTTGAATTCGAAGAGGACAGCGTGTCGAAGCGAATGGCATCATATACTACAAGAAAAATGAAGCTCATGTTAATATATACCGTTCAAAGTATATACCATATAATTGGCGTATTAAATATTTTTTTTTATGTGATAAAGTGGC